ATGGAGAAGGGGACACTACTACACGGTCATACAGATGACCATAATTTGCATCTGGCCTCACAGTTTTACTGATCAATAGAACTGAATAAAGTTCTTCAGAGAATTACAAGTTTGCCAAATCTATTTTTTCTCTTTCCTGGTTTAAGCAAACTTAATCCACCTTCTTGGCCAGACGCACGGCCTGAGCAAAAAATAAAACCTCCTTTTATTACCCGGGGTGGGGAATGGGTACCTCTTTTCGAGTGTGTTGTCTATTTTGGGTCATTAGCTACTCAGTAAATTCAGTATATCATTTTTGGAGACTATCAATCTGAGGGAATACTGTTCTCTCCCACCCTTTTTAGAATGTAGAACAGAAAGGGCTGAGTTTAATGTAGGCTGTTTGTTTTCCTGTATAAGGTTCTTTGCCCAACTCATTGGATAAACATTAGCTTCTCTTTTTTTAAATAGGCTGCAAAGGAAACCTTTCACCACTCTGAAAGTTTGGATGGTATTATGTAACCATGTTTGTATATACCAAAGAAAAGGAAACAAGTTGTTTCATAAAGGAGATTTTTGGCTTATAATTCTTGAATACATAACTCTCAAACTTATTTTCCTACATTAAGGGATGATTTATTCTTGGTATCTAGAAAGGATTTGACTTTTGTCCCCTGGTTACTTTAGATATTTTCTTATATGATCAGTAAAGTACAAAGCTTGTCTCCATTATTAATGTGTCTTGGTTAAATAGTACTAGCTCTTTCTTACATGCTGAGCATGTTGGGAACAGGAGGAGGAATAAGAATTTCTACTTGAAAACACATTATAGTAGGAAGGATAAACACCAAAACAGGCCGGGCACAGTGGCTCATGCCAATTAATCCCAGCACTTTGAGAAGCTGAGGAGGGAGGACTGCCTGAGACCAAGTGTTCGAGATGAGCCTGGGCAACAGAGTAAAACTCTGTTTCTACCAAAAAAAAAAAAAAAAAAAAAAAAAAAAAAAAATTTAGCTGGGCTTGGTGGTGCACGCATGCAGTCCCAGCTACTCAGGAGGCTGAGGTGGGAGGATGGCTTGAGCACAGGAGGTGGCCGCAGTAAACTGATCGCACCACTGCACTCCACCCTCAGCGACTGAGCGAGACTTTGCTCAAGGGGTAAAAAATCAAAAAGTATAGGGGAAGATGTATGTAGGTTATATACAAATACTATGCCATCTTATACAAGGGACACGAGCATTTATGGATTTGGGTTCTTCGGGGTTCCTGGAATCAATCCCCTGCAGATGACGAAGGGAGGGACGACTGTATAAATTCTTGGTCAATGCAAGAGTTGAAAGAAGCTAGAACTTTAAGGTTTATTTCTTAGATGGTGCATAGTTGAAAATCATCTCATTAAAATACTACTCATTTTCCTTCTGCAAACCAGTACTACATGAATAAACTGCAGTAAATGGACATTTGTTCAAACCAATAAATATCGAGTTCTGATGTGTGCTTGGCCCTGGGGACACGACAGTCAAGGCAGACTTGGCAGCTGCCTTCACGGAGTTTCCTGTCTGTCAAGGAAGATATTGACAGGCAGGAGTCTGTAGGTCTTAAAGGCTTTGGGGAAACTGAAATCTAGCCCTGTGAACAAGAATAAACTGGATCTGTATTTTCATGCTGTCTGCTTTTAAAAACACCTTTCTGGCCATAATTAATGCTTATGGAGCATAGAAATCACAAGATTTTATAACTAGAAAGGACTACAGAACTTATTTGATTCCATTAACAATGTTCCAATTTGGGAAACTGTGGCTCAGGGGTAGAAATGGATTTATCTAAGGTCACACAGCTAATTAGTCATTTCTACGCAACACAATGTGCAAGGGAAATAAGTCTGTTTTGCTGGCCAGTCATGATCACACCTCTTTACAGAGGCCCAAAGGACAAGTGGCATTTTTGTTTTGCAGTTTTTCTTTTCTTTTTTTTTTTTTTTTGAGACAGAGTTTCCCTCTTGTTGCCCAGGCTGGAGCGCAGTGGTGCAATCTTGGCTCACTGCAACCTGCCTCACGGGTTCAGGTGATTCTCCTGCTTCAGCCTCCTGAATAGCTGGGATTACAGACACCTGCCACCACGCCCAACTAATGTTTTGTATTTTTAGTAGAGACAGGGTTTCACCAAGTTGGCCAGGCTGGTCTTGAATCCTGACCTCAGGTGATCCTCTTGCGGCCTCCCAAAGTGCTGGGATTACAGGCGTGAGCCACCGTGCCCGGCCTTGTTTTCCAGTTCTGACACTATCAGGATCAAGTGCAGAGGGGCCTCTGCAGCCAAGGCCCCTCAATCTCGAACCCCTACATTGGGGGTTGAGTTACATTGCTATGGGCTTTCCAGCATCCCCAATATCCCTTCATAACACATGCCATGCTTATCATTCTTAACATCTGTTGCTGTGGTGAAGAGAATGGATTGAAGGCAGCAATGGTGGCTGCAGGAGACCAGTCAGGGACTAGTCCAGGTGTCAATGATGGAGACGGACAGAAGTTGATGAACTGGAGAGTTTGTTGTTGTTTATTTAGAGACAGAGCCTTGGTCTGTCACTGATGTCGGAATGCAGTGATGATCACAGCTCACTGCAGCCTTGAACTCCCCCAATCGTCCCGCGTAGCTGAGATGGGCATAGCTTTTTTTGGCCGACCTCTATTTGAAGCAAAAGCTAAATTTCACTAACTCCTCTTCAGATATTACAAATGAATTTGTGCTACCAGCTGATGTCTCAAAAAATAAGAATCCGCTTGATCAGTCAATACAGTTTTGTTCACAATTTTCATATCCTTTTAGTTACAAGCTTCTCTTAAAGAGAAATGGAAAATAATATAATGGAAATGGGGTAGCTGCATAGTACTGACTACTAGCTTGTGTTTTATTACTTAAAATTGAATGGAAAGGAAGAAGAAACTAGAACTTAAGACCACAGTTCCTAGGGGAAGCTAAGAAAAGAAGGACATGCAGATCATTGCTGAATGAGAAATGTGGTTAGATAATGGTTTTCTGTAAAAGCGAACTTTGAAATTTCCCGACATTCGTATTGAACAATTGCCAACAACTATTTGACAAGCATCACTAAGGCTTACTTTATCATTTTAAATGACAGGAGTCAAATAGGATGAGATCAGGAGTCAAATCACCTTGTGAGCTCCACGAAAGCACAGATAACTCATCTAATAACCAGAACCTACAAAACACCTACAACACGGTGACATGCCTGAATCGAATCAGCTCAATTTTCTCATCCCTGGTACGTTTCTTTTAAATTGAGGAGAGGGGAGGGGGAAAAAAAAAAAAGGCATCAACCCCTTTCTCTTAAAACAAGGAAAGGGTCTAAAAGTCTTTGAAATGGGGGTCTCCAGCCAATCCCTACGATGATACCTGCATTAAGAAACAAGGAGGGATACCGGGGGAAAAAAAAAACCCGAAGTATTATTCTGACGACTGTAAATAGCCGTCCTATTAGCATTAACTAAAAAAAAAGCTGGGGAGCCGGGCACGGTGGCTCAAGCCTGTAATCCCAGCACTGTGGGAGGCCGAGGCGGGTGGATCACAAGGTCAAGAGATCGAGACCACCCTGGTCAACATGGTGAAACCCCGTCTCTACTAAAAATACAAAAAATTAGCTGGGCATGGTGGCGCGTGCCTGTAATCCCAGAGACTCAGGAGGCTGAGGCAGGA